TTGCTCATGTAAGATGGAAGTAGAGGCCATGGCACCATATCATGAGCATATTTTTATATTGAAACTATCATTGGGCACCAATGATGTGTATACGACGCTATGAAAGTTCAGAGAACTGGAGATTTTTCGTACAAACTACGTACTTAGCCCGTACTTAGTTTATTGGCAAAAATAAAGACAGTAGAGTGAGCTAGGTACGTAGTTTATGGGAGAAAAATCAAGACAGTCGAGTGTGCTTTGTTTACTTTCTTTGTTTTTTTGTTTCGTTTTCCATTGGTAAGTGATTATCTAGGAACTTGTAAATTCTTTAGTTTTTTCATCGTATCTCCCGAACTATTGAATTCAGAGAAAAATGTTATGAGGATTTTTTGTGGATTTTATCAAAAGGAATAATTTTGGTTCTATAACATTTTCAGATATTTTCAGTTGTTTTCGAGATATTTGGAATTATCTGAGAATAAAATTTTCAACACTTTTTTTCCATCTTCCAATCAACAAAATGAAAAAATATTCCATGCCTCAGTGGAGGTAGATGAGCTTCATCTATCGATAATCTATGTTTTTCAATATATCTTCATAGTACCCTATGGGTCGTTAAAATTTTTTTTTTCATATTTTTCACTTTATTTCCTGTACTATTGGGTTTACAGAAAAAATTATGGAAAATGATTTGTAGGGAATGTTCCAGTGGATAACATTGCACTCTTGATAATTTTCGATTTTTCCATTTGTTTTCGATATATATTGAATTAAAAGGATTTCAAATTTTGATGTTTGGGTTTTCATTTGTTTTTCCAGTTTCCGATGGATGCACGAAAAAATGATTGAATGATAATTTGTTGCGTCATCAAAGAGGCATACGGTGCATTTCTCAAATTTGGATTTAGTCTATTTGTTCACGAGATATGTCGTTTTAAAGCGAACCGTGTTTTTCGGAAAATCTCCTTGAAAAACCCACTTGGAATTTTCCGACCCTGCTCAATTTCAATAGGCTTCGTCTCTTCCTGATAGAGGTTTTTTTCACAAAAAATGAAATCGATCGGAACACTTTTGCGATTTGTAGAGTGATTACAAGGAACTTCCGGTGAAAAATCGAAAAAACCCGGAAAAACCACCTTAGAGTTTTCCGATTTCCTTCATATTTTAATGACATAATATTGTTTTGAGTACAATAAGATGGCAAAATTTCAAGTCGATATGTCGAAGGGTTCCGGAGATATATCGATTTATGATTAACACAGAGTACAGACAGACAGACAGACAGACCACACACAAAAACCAAAGTTGCTCAAAATTCGATGGGGATCATTTTCTCCAAAGCAACTATACCTCTATCTCGCTTAGTTTCCGAGATAGCATTTTTGGCACGGCCGTAGTATACTCCACTATGTATAGCGTCGTATAACAAGTGAGGTACCTAGTTTTTGAAAGATGTAGTTTTCATTAGGTATTAGATTTAAGTATAGAGGTCAGATAATTTATACGACGCTATAAAAGCAGATGATATTTCATCATTGCTCATGTAAGATGGAAGTTGAGGCCATGGCACCATATCATGAGCATATTTTCATAATGAAACTATCATTGGGCACCAATGATGTGTATACGACGCTATGAGAGTTCAGAGAACTGGAGATTTTTCGTACAAACTACGTACTTAGCCCGTACCTAGTTTATTGGCAAAAATAAAGACAGTAGAGTGAGCTAGGTACAGAGTTTATGGGAAAAAAATCAAGACAGTCGAGTGTGCTTATTTTACTTTCTTTTGTTTTTTGTTTCGTTTTCTATTGGCAAGTGATAATCTAGGAACTTGTATATTTTTTAGTTTTTTCATCGTATCTCCCGAACTATTGAATTCAGAAAAAAATGTTATGAGGATTTTTTGTGGATTTTATCAAAAGGAATAATTTTGGTTCCATAACTTTTTCAGATATTTTCAGTTGTTTTCGAGATATTTGGAATTATCTGAGAATAAAATTTTCAACACTTTTGTTCCATCTTCCAATCAACAAAATGAAAAAATATTCCATGCCTCAGTGGAGGTAGATGAGCTTCATCTATCGATAATCTATGTTTTTCAATATATCTTCATAGTACCCTATGGGTCGTTAAAATTTTTTTTTTCATATTTTTCACTTTATTTCCTGTACTATTGGGTTTACAGAAAAAATTATGGAAAATGATTTGTAGGGAATGTTCCAGTGGATAACATTGCACTCCTGATAATTTTCGATTTTTCCATTTGTTTTCGATATATATTGAATTAAAAGGATTTCAAATTTTGATGTTTGGGTTTTCATTTGTTTTTCCAGTTTCCGATGGATGCACGAAAAAATGATTGAATGATAATTTGTTGCGTCATCAAAGAGGCATACGGTGCATTTCTCAAATTTGGATTTAGTCTATTTGTTCACAAGATATGTCGTTTTAAAGCGAACCGTGTTTTTCGGAAAATCTCCTTGAAAAACCCACTTGGAATTTCCCGACCCTGCTCAATTTCAATAGGCTTCGTCTCTTCCTGATAGAGGTTTTTTTCACAAAAAATGAAATCGATCGGACCACTTTTGCGATTTGTAGAGTGATTACAAGGAACTTCCGGTGAAAAATCGAAAAAACCCGGAAAAACCACCTTAGAGTTTTCCGATTTCCTTCATATTTTAATGACATAATATTGTTTTGAGTACAATAAGATGGCAAAATTTCAAGTCGATATGTCAAAGGGTTCCGGAGATATATCGATTTATGATTAACACAGAGTACAGACAGACAGACAGACAGACCACACACAAAAACCAAAGTTGCTCAAAATTCGATGGGGATCATTTTCTCCAAAGCAACTATACCTCTATCTCGCTTAGTTTCCGAGATAGCATTTTTGGCACGGCCGTAGTATACTCCACTATGTATAGCGTCGTATAACAAGTGAGGTACGTAGTTTTTGAAAGGTATCAGATTAGTATAAAGGTCAGATAAATTATACGACGTTATAAAAGCAGATGATATTTTATCATTGCTCATGAAAGATGGAAGTTGATGCCATGGCACCATATCATGAGCATATTTTTATATTGAAACTATCATTGGGCACCAATGATGTGTATACGACGCTATGAAAGTTCAGAGAACTGGAGATTTTTCGTACAAACTACGTACTTAGCCCGTACCTAGTTTATTGGCAAAAATAAAGACAGTAGAGTGAACTAGGTACGTAGTTTATGGGAAAACAAAATCAAGACAGTCGAGTGTGCTTTTTTTACTTTATTTTGTTTTTTGTTTCGTTTTCTATTGGCAAGTGATTATCTAGGAACTTGTGAATTTTTTAGTTTTTTCATCGTATCTCCCGAACTATTGAATTCAGAGAAAAATGTTATGGGGATATTTTGTAGATTCTATCAAAAGGAATAATTTTGGTTCTGTAACATTTCCAGATATTTTCAGTTGTTTTCGAGATATTTGGAATTATCTGAGCATAAAATTTTCAACACTTTTGTTCCATCGTCCAATCAACAAAATGAAAAAATATTCCATGGTTCAGTTGAAGTCGATGAGCTTCATCTATCGATAATCTATGTTTTTCAATATATCTTCATAGTACCCTATGGGTCGTTAAAATTTTTTTTTTTCATATTTTTCACTTTATTTCCTGTACTATTGGGTTTACAGAAAAAATTATGGAAAATGATTTGTAGGGAATGTTCCAGTGGATAACATTGCACTCTTGATAATTTTCGATTTTTCCATTTGTTTTCGATATATATTGAATTAAAAGGATTTCAAATTTTGATGTTTGGGTTTTCATTTGTTTTTCCAGTTTCCGATGGATGCACGAAAAAATGATTGAATGATAATTTGTTGCGTCATCAAAGAGGCATACGGTGCATTTCTCAAATTTGGATTTAGTCTATTTGTTCACGAGATATGTCGTTTTAAAGCGAACCGTGTTTTTCGGAAAATCTCCTTGAAAAACCCACTTGGAATTTTCCGACCCTGCTCAATTTCAATAGGCTTCGTCTCTTCCTGATAGAGGTTTTTTTCACAAAAAATGAAATCGATCGGACCACTTTTGCGATTTGTAGAGTGGTTACAAGGAACTTCCGGTGAAAAATCGAAGAAACCCGGAAAAACCACCTTAGAGTTTTCCGATTTCCTTCATATTGTAATGACATAATATTGTTTTGAGTACAATAAGATGGCAAAATTTCAAGTCGATATGTCAAAGGGTTCCGGAGATATATCGATTTATGATTAACACAGAGTACAGACAGACAGACAGACAGACCACACACAAAAACCAAAGTTGCTCAAAATTCGATGGGGATCATTTTCTCCAAAGTAACTATACCTCTATCTCGCTTAGTTTCCGAGATAGCATTTTTGGCAAGGCCGTAGTATACTCCACTATGTATAGCGTCGTATAACAACTACTCTCCTGGCTAAATGCCACGCATAACATTTGTTTACATCCTACCGAATTCGTATAGACGAATAAAATCGCAAGTGTTTCCTTCCTAAACGCCGGGAGCTGCGCCTTAAAATGGTTCAGGAACGCGTAACTACCTGCAAACCGGTTCTGAGCTCTTGGCTCTCATCAGTGCAGGGCTGTCTCAGATAGCATTCTTGACCGCTATCTGATGCGAACCTGACACAACGTAAACGAGGCGTTCAACGTCCGCGAAATGAACGCGAACGCCTATAACGCCACCTGGCAAAGAAAGAAACACTCCAAAACAGGATCCCATTTCAGATGAAATGTAACGGTCACAAAGAGAGGATATACTCGAAAGTGGAACGCCTAGATGAGATTTTCATATTCTTTTTCAATATTTTTTGTATATTAAGATTATGTAAATTTAATCATCAGGACAAAGTCACACAACAACGAAGTTCTGCTACTGTAGAATAAAAATTCAGAGAAACACTCTCTCTGAAAAGTATTCAATTTATCTTAGCAATCAGCATTCCAAATTTCATTCACCGTGAAAATATTTTCATTTTCTTACCTGAGAACAGACAATAGATGTACGGGCAGAAAACAAAAGGCGAACATCACGACGACTGCGACCAACATTTTGGCAGCTTTCCGTCTCGATCTCAGTTGGCCTTCGGTGCTGGCATTCATGTTCATCGCAAAAGTATTCAGTTGTCCTGATCGACCACCAGTCAAATCTGAAAAAAAAAACATTGTTCGCTATTTTTTTGTAGAACAGCTTCACTTTGGAACTGTGGATATCATATCAGATATGACCAATATGAAGAGCTTCTTCGGTTGGTATAATATACAGTGTGAACCACTTCTAATGGAAACACCCCTGTATGTTACGTAATCGTTGGATAAGGATCCTGAAATTCGCTGGAGCGAGAGATATACCAAAAATGCACTATATGATCAAGTGGGGTCATCTTCAGTGATATTCACTGCTCGCCAATAGCCACGGAACCACCCCAATTTCCGGAAAATGATATTAGGAGTCAAAATAGGTCAAAACTCACTTTGGATTCGGATTTCCCTAAATATTCATAGTTTTCCTACAAAATTTTCAGTTCAGAAAAATTAAATGTTGTCTCACTTACCATGGAAGCACCCCCGTATCTCGATAGGACGTTACCTACCTGATATCAGAATATATATAAAATATAATTCTATTGGTTCTCTTTATATCCTACACTTTCCTTATTACATAATTTGTATTATACTCTTAGTGTACCAATTGCCGGATATAGTTTGTAAGCAATACATTTTAACACTCTATTGTATGTACTCACTGATGTATCAAACTTTGGTGTTACTGACAACAATTGTACTACCAATTCTATAAACTTTTAATTTAATTACCACTTATCTTGCAAATATAACTAAACCCTTGTTATGAAACTGTAAGTTCAAGAAACAATAAATTATTGATTGATTGATTGATCGAGTAATTATTGAGGTAGGGTTCTGAAATTTGCAGGAGGAACAGAAAGTCCAAAGATAAAGTCAATTAGGTATGATACGGGGGTGCTTCCGTAAAAAATGCGACAAAATTTAATTTTTCAGAACTGAAAATTTTTAAGGAAAAATATGAATAGTTAGTGAATTGAGCGTCCTGATTCCAAATCTGAAGTGATTTTCGACCTATTTTGACTCCTAATATCATTTTCCGGAAATCGGGGTGATTCCATGACTGTTGGCGAGTAGTGTATATCACTGAATATGACCTCACTTGGTCATAGAGTGCATTTTCGGTATATCTCTCGCGCCAGCAAATTTCAGGATCCTTACCCAACTATTACGTAAGATACAGGGGTTTTTCCATTAGAAGTGGGCCACACTGTATAAATAGAATAGGATAGAATTCATTCAAGATAGAAAACATCCTAATATCAACGATTTCAAATAAAATAACAACACATATAGCATAACACTACCAATTTCTTAATTGAATGAACAAAAATAGATATTTAATTCATCATTAAAAACAGCGGTGAAGCTGTTGCCCTTGGCGAATTCACCCGTTTAAGAGCAGAAATCAAGTTGGATTTAGACAGAGCTTATAAAAAATCTGTAAAGCCAGCTGAAGAGGAGATCAAAGATAATCCTAACAAATTTTGCGCATATATCAACAGCAGAAAAGGAACCACCACCATTGGGGATAATAAAATAAAAAAGATTCATCGACCTGAATTATGACGAGTCATGTAAAGAAATTTCCAGAAATAATCAGTTATTACTCGCATATAAATTCTCAAACTACTTACATATACGTTTCAGAACCTCCACAAGTAAAACAAAAATTAAGATATCCACAGATACCCCACAAAAAATAGTGACGACATACAGCTGGGTCTTTTCCATAAATATCGGTATAGAAAGTCACCAATTCATCCCGGAGGCCAATTATTCAATGCCCTCCCAGGAAAGATAAAAGACACCAAAGATGTTATAAAATTCGAAAATATCTGACTGACAATTCGTTTCATATACATAACAAATGTAAAGAAAAAAATTAGATTTTTTTAGGGTTGTGCTATCCTTCGGACGAAAGCAAAAAAGTTGTTTCTTTGGTTGACACTGTTACGGTAAGAAAAACACAAACAAATACGTTTTCGGGCAATAGAACTTTCTCTTTGCTGATTTCCTTCATACAATTCTGACACAAGTCTGACACAATTCTGTTGTTATTTCATGGTTAGATTGAGATCCGAGAAATCAAAGATGATGCTACTTTTTTATATAAGCGGCAACGCTGCATTGCAGAAAATATTCTGAGATGTAACTCTGGTGAGTGAACTTTCAAATATCTCGATCAATGATTGTCGAAACTTCATTCCAAATGGATCACCCTGTATAATTTTGGCAAATTTATAGTATAATCTTTCTGCGAATCTGATCCATCGCCATAAGAAAAACCTCCTGAAGGAATGTTCACCGATATTGGATAGATTTTTCCTCTTAGGAGAGGAGATTCGAAATCCGGGCACAATATGAATGATGAGGTTATAAAATTCACGGCGAAAACGGACGGCAATTGGATTTCATCCTGTATTCGAGTCTCGTAACAGTCAAATTGGCCGGTCGAGAATATGAGAAATCTGATGATGGAATTGAATTCGTCGGTTCACAAAGTGAGCTTATGCTGTGAAATTTATGTAATTTCTAAAAGGTTATTGTTTTCTTTTGTTTCATACCCGAGAGAATTTCAATCTTCTGGGAATTCCTATTCTAGCGCTCGATATTATCTTATTCTCTGGAAGTTGTTTCAGGAATTTGGCAAGACTCCATATATTCGGTCATCAAAGATCATCATAACTTAAGAGTCTTTAGAAGCATTATCTCCAATCATTCCATTGAATTTTTTCCCAACTTTCCTAGGATCTTCTCTTTAACATAATTTCAATCTGAATGCTATTTCAGAATAGGTCTTATAGAATATTCGAATAATTGGTGGGAGCGCTACGAATGGTTACTGGTTCATTCATTTCAAGTTTTGGCGATTGCGCTTTCAATTTTTGGTGAATGCGAATTTCTATTTATTTTGTGAATTTGAAAGACATTGGAAAATGTTGGTTAGTGGTGAAACAATGTAGTGGACAGTGACGCTGGGTTGATGAAGCTAATTTTTCCAAATGACATTGAAAGTGGCTAAAATGTGTACTGCCTATGCAGAAATAGTATGTTGTTTAACGAACACGGAATGATAGTGATTTTCCACGAGAATGGAGTTTGCAGCATGAATCGTAGGCCCGAGGGGGAAATTAGCATTCCGTGCTATAATTTTTCTACAGCTGTAACAGCTAACAGTGACATTTTTGATTTATTCGTCTTGTGGCCATCTGATTTCCTCTCAAGTAATGCTCATTCGACACTGCTGTCATTGCTTGAAATTTGACATTTCATGGGCAATGCGTTTTTTTTTGTAATAAGATACGGAAATAATATTGATGCCATACAAAATACATCATTGATATATCGAGAACAGTAGAACAAGAGCAATTTTGTGTTATAGCCGTAGAAAAAAGTACTACCTAGACCAAAAAAAATTTTGTGCTATATGCAACGTTACAATTAATAATTTGAATCAAATTGGTTATTAAAATTGTCAGTGACTTTGGGTGAACACAAAATGATGGATTATTTGGACTTTGCGTGGAATTGACATGAATTTGGAGAAATAATTATATTATGTTTCAAATGGCAGAAAAGAATAATGCCCTGGCTGATTTTCGATCCTCGGCCACGCCTTGGCTATGGAACGCCAGCTGCAGCATTGAATCTCGTGCTTTTCTGCCTAGTGAAACCATAGTTATTTGTTTTACTACTGCAGACATCTATATACGAAAATTTGGCACGAATACAATGATTCCCTGGTTTCTTCAATTTCGTCGAACTCTCTCGTAAGTGGGGATGCTTATATTCTTTTTTAAAAACAAGAGGCTCACCCCAAATTCGAACAACGTGATGTTGACTCTGTGAAGAGCTACTGCTCCGTAGCTGATCCCGATAGCACCCTTCGTACAGTCCACTATTCCGCTGATAACCACGACATGTTCAACTCAGTCGTGGAGAAGCATGAAACTCCAGTTTACCTAGCTCCAGCTGCACACTCTGACCCAGTAGATATTGTATACTCTGGTCCAGTACTGAATGTATACTCTGCCCCAGTACAGAAGGTATATTCTGCCCCACTTGCACATGCTTGCTCCAGTACGTGCAGCCCAGTATGTGCACGCTGCCCCAGTCGTTCTTTCTGCCCCAGCTCACTTGTGGAGTGAATGAAGTGGAAAACCATTATTTATTTATTATGTTATGTTTATATGTTTATTCAATTTATAATATTTATGTTGAGAATGAAAAAAAAAAAAGAAAAAAAATAATAAACTGTCTATTTGTGAAAAAAAAAAAAAAAAAAAAAAATTGAATGCCGTGATTGATAGTTTATAGCCGAGTTTAGCGAACCTAGGAATTCAAGCAAGTCAGTCTATCTACTTTGCTGCCATATGAAACACGTGATTTTTTCTCGAAATCTTTTTTTATTATTGTATTATTGAAAACTCCATCATTTCGTGTTCACCCAAGGTCAGTGTCAATTTTGATTAGGTACCAATTTCATTCGAACAACTTGGAATGTTGCATGGCAACAAACTTCTTCTGCCTATGCAGTGAAAATACACATTTGCTGCCTTTCAAGTGTCATAGAGAAGCCACTTTCTATGCCGTTTGGGAAAAAATACTATATCTTACTACAAATATTTTGCATTTGATAACATGCATTTTTTTATTGAGAAGGAAAAGTGAAATTTTAGATAGATGATCAAAGATAAAGTAGTTACCGGTTAGCATTCAACCATTCCTGAAACATATCGGAGGTTTCTTTCAAAAAAAATCTTTCTGTGCTCAAGTTTCAAGATTCAAGACCTCCACGCAAAATTACAGACTTCCCAATTTGGTGAAGGCGGCCTTGAATAGTTGGTGAATGCGCAATTAAATATTTGGTAAAGGCGTGATTGAATATTTGGCGAAGGCGATACTGAATATTGGGTGGATGCGCAAATAAATATTCAAATATGTACACATATACCATTGTCGTTCAAAATGACAACCTAGTTAGGTAGTTAGCAGGCAAGAGATACCTCCTCGCGTACTAGGTCGCCCCCTAGGTTTCCATTTAGATCGACAGTGCATAATA